CTCTGTAACATCTAGCAATAGCCAATGTAAAGCAAATAAATGACTTTTCTTTCTACTGAAAATATTCTTTGTCTGCTCCCCAACTATTAAAAATGCAATCATATATTGCAAATCATAATCTCTTAATTTATGCTCCAAATATCGTAAATATACACCAGATGAACTATTTTAATTTAATTCACTGTACTGGATAATTATACTAAAACTAGTCAGCTATGTAATAGACAACCTAAAACTAAGGAAATATAAAAGCTGTTGGATGCAGGCATTCTTTAATGCAAACATTATTGAAAAAGAGGATGCAACTTCACAACCCAAACACAAAACCATATTCTCCAACATGTACAGTGAACAGCTTTGCAACGTTTGTTTCAGTACAATATCCAAAATCAGTGGCAAAACAAAGAAGGTGGGCTCAGTACATATTAACAATCTACCTGTTCTTTTCATTATATATGAAGTCTTAATATAGTATTTCAAATTACCAATGCAGAATTAGAGAGAAGAAAGGTAGAATCTAAATACCTGGAAACAATTTCCCCAAATTTCTCTTTCTCTTGAATTCTTATAATGTCATATTTGAACAATCTTTCTACTCCTCAAACTTAAATTGCATCTGTTCTGATGGACCAAATGAAAGTCTGTGTATTAATCAGCGTGTTTTCCCAGTTATGGTCAAAAAAATATTTTTGAGTTCTGCAACTCTTAGGATCAGCAGCTGAGATATCAGAGGCTGACTTTTAGTCATCTTGCTAAGGAATAAAATACTTAGCTTATTCCTAGCATAGCATGATATACAGCATTTACTTCATTAGTAATTGTGTGTGTCCTTACATATTTGCAATTAAATAAAACAAATTATTGTGAGTTGTTCAACAAACCATAATCACAAATCATATCTAATATAATATGTGAACTAAGAACTGTAGTTATATCTCATAGTACTAATGCAAATCCTTCTTCATGCATTTCAATAATTCATTCTGAAATATGGTGACCATCTCTACATTTATAGTAATGAATTCCATAAGTTGCTATTCGTTGTTTTCTTTTGTCATCGCTAATGACCAGTCTGATTAGATATACGAATTTATGGATCTCATTTTCTGATGATCCATTCCTAAAATTGCTAGTAAGGCACTAGTACAAAGAGAAATAAACATTAGATCATTTCCTAATAAAAATTATGCAACTGGGCCAAAAATGTGCAGAGAAAATGAGAGATGCAGAAGTTTTGTCTTCATTTTCCTATCAGAAGGCAAAAGCTGATAATAGGACAGCAAAGTAATTTCTCAATTCACCTTTTAATGAAAACAACAACGTGTTGTGTATGTTTTTGTCAATGTGTATAAGTGTTTGTAATAAAAAAAATTAAAAAAGAAAGAAAACAACAAATATTGCTGACATATTTGTACAGGTAATTCTTGTTTAGCAACCACAACTGGGATCGGCAACTTGGTTGTTAAGTGAAGCAATTGTTACGTGAAGCAGGTGCTAAGTGAAACAGTAACTTATTATCTTATTTCAGCTTTCCTTTGTGTTATAGACTTGCAAAGGATGTACGTGCAAGAATTGGTTGCAAAGGTACATTTTCATCACTGTGAAAAAGTTCATCACAATTTGAACAGTTGCTGTATGAGGCAATACAACAAGAAAAGTTAACCAATACTGCTAAGAACAAATTATAGTTTTTTGCTATATTGCTATCATGCTTCTTTACTTCTTTGTCTTCTGGAGATTTCCCTTTCTTAAGGTAAGCATTTTACAAAAACACAAACCTCAAAACTAAAATTTTGAAAAAATAAATTAAATTTGCTGCTGAAGATTTTCCTATTTTAGTGTGGGAGAGACTTTTAAGCAAGAGTAGATGGTCTCCTCAGAGTAACCCCATGGTAGACAAAAATATGATCAACTACATCAGAATTGCATTAAACTGGCTATTGTGAAATAATTCTTTTCTCTCACCAAAGGAGAGAAAGTTGAAAAGGATAAGAGCCAGAAAGCATTTGTTGATAACGGCATGAATCCTCGCCAATGCTGATTTCTTAAATTTCACCAGGAAAGAAACATTAAGGAAGTTTATTGACCTACTTTGCACTGTCAAGCAACATTGAAGAAATGTCTAATCAAGCCAGTTGAGACAACTGGTTCACACACATTATTCAAAATACGAACAATGTTGTTTGTATAATCTATGTGATTAAATAGTGAAATACTGAATGTCAACCATTTAATAAAAATAATTTAAAAATCTTACCACAAGGAACTCTCCATTGAGCATCTAATTTAAAAAAATACTGTGTATTTTGGTAATGCATAGAAACAATAGCTAACATCTAAGAAACTTCATACCACTGACTTACTACCTACAATAGAAATGCAAGCATTCTGAAGACAGCCATGTCACATGTAAACCTTAGAAAAACATCAGTTGAAATAAAACATTTTAGTTACTACAGAGAGAAGCCCAATTTCCCTGCCACCACCTCCTCAATATTTAAAATGACTAAATTCCTAAAAATAATAATAATTTTTTTTTAATCATTTGGTTAAGGCAACATATGAAATAGAAACAAAACAACCACACACAGAGCAACTACACAATACAGCAAAGAATCAATGCAAGCAAGTTGCAAAGCCAACAAAAAGAGAACGGGAGAATGCATCACATCAAGTTGGAGCTGATTTTTGCACCTGCAGTCCTGCCGAAATGGAAAGACCAGCAGATCAGAAGCACAGCGAATGATAGCATGGATCATGCAATGATACAACTGGGAGAAGCAAGCCACTGCAGACAGACTTGTAAGGTAGTTAATGTATGAAAAAGCTTACTTCATTTAGAAAGCTCACTAATTGGTCTACCGTTAAATAATCTGTTTTGTCTCCATTGCTGTAAAGAAATTTATTAGAAAAAATGTAAGTTTTCATGTAAGATCCTACAGCAGGTTTGATTTACATGTTGACATTTATTTTTATATTCCCAACATTGATCTAATATTCTTTAACAGATCTAAGCTGAATTTTCAAAATGAGGACTAAGAAGTGATATTGACTATGCTTGCTACAAAACAGCTCCTTCTCTCTATGCCCCCGATTTAACAGATTAAAGAAAGAAGCAATTCAACATGTAAGTCTTCCACATTAATAACTTAGTGCATGAAACCTCAGCTGTTAAGACTTTCTTACCTAATTAGTTCATATATTGTGTTAATAACCTTATAATAGCAAGTTAATATTATAGGTTAGTAAAGCCAATTTAAAAAACAGAAAGGGTTTCTTTAAATCAGAAGATCCTGAAAACCTATATTGGAACATTCAACTGAGTTAAACCTTTGGAGAAGAAATTTTACTTCTGACAGGAACACTGCATGACATAGCATTATCTTCAGAATAAGTAACATTAAAATTAAGTTTATTGTGTAGAGTAACTTACATTTTTCTAAAAAGCTCCTCTATATCGGTACGAGGACATATCTTCTGGGTTAGTTCATAAAACTTCTCAAAAGTAAAAGCTGAAGGCTCTATTTCATCATTCTGAAAGTAAAATAAAGCTTAATATATAGCAGGTTGGATAAGTACTGATTTAGCAATGGAAGAATTTACAATATATTCATTACAGATGGAAACAAATAATTCAACCGTTCTCTACTATTACAGCAATAATGTACATTATTTTATGTGTGTAGTATATAGCTACTGCTTTAAAATATTCTAATTCTAATTAGCATAGACGTTAACAATGAACAAACTGCTAATGAATTATTTTTGAAGTGATACTGAATAATCAACTGCAGCCATTAACTGTTTTAGATTCATAATACCCATCTTGAAACCATTAATTCTTGAAAATTAAATTTAAATACCTTTCCACTGGGAAGACCCAATTCTTTAAGTGCCTGAAATATCACTTTTTCAGTTTTACCTGACGCAAACGTTCTGGTAATGCTAGAAAAAAAGAGAGAGAGAATTAAATTATTCCAGAACTTTGGTAATCTCATAATCAGAGCTGCATCACATGTCCTCTACTGAGATGACAGTAGTTCATTAATGACTTTCTGTATTGACAGTGTAAAGTATCTCTTCAAGAACATTACACTTTTATTTGGGTAAATAAACAATTCATCACCTAATTTTCACATCCATTACCATATATCTAATCTGTAGTTTTGAGTGAGTGTGAACATTCATGAACCAGGAATAACAAGGGAAGATATTAATATAGAAAACTATACCTACATAGATTAGATACAAAAAGGGAATAAATCCAAAGATTTTATGAGAAGGCTGAAGTTTGAAGAAAGACTATAATTTGGATCTTGTGTCCTCTCACAGAGGAGGAGTTTCTGTTTTAACAAGTTGAAGACTGGGAGACTGTTCACACTTACCCTTCTGAAAGAAAGCTGAAAAACAAAGCTTTCAAGCATCCTTTATGATTTTTTTTGTTAATTATTCCCACATTTTGGTTTTAGTGTAAATGAAATATTTTCTTTTGTTGTCCCAAAGGTGCTTTTTCAAGAGGCAACTGGACTTCATTGTTTTTCTTTGAAGATGTTTCGCTTCTCATTCAAGAAGCTTCTTCAGCTCTGACTGGATGGTGGGGAATGGAAGGATTTATATTCCTTGCAGACAGCTGGTCACTTCCATTCCCTTACAGAGTTGTTGAGGCTGTTTGGAGGTCTATCTGTGTCCTCAGGGTCATCCGAGCAGTGCAANAAAAAAATTGCCTCTTCAAAACCTGGGTGCATCTTATACTCCGGTGCGTCTTATACCTGTACTCCGAAAAATACAGTATATGTTTGAGACAGCTCACAGGTTTATGGTGGTAACAAGTTACACATAACCTTTGCAATGGCAGAAAAAATGTAAGAATGAGTTCAAATTTATCAGTGACTAGAATTACTTCATTAGTAATTGTCTTCCTACTTTGAATTTTAACATAATTTCCCTTTCACTAGACCAATTAAATACAGATGAAAGATCTTTACTACTTCATAACATACCTGCAGTGATTTTCAAAGGACAAGATGACAGGATACTCAGATGTTGCAAAGGCTGTTTCCTTAATGGCTTGAATCACATCCTTTAAAAATACAGTAAATTAGTTTTGTGTACATTACAAAATAAATCCAGCTGCATTCTTGAGCATACAAAAAACAGGAGTAATGCCTCATTCAACATGGATGTGCATATATAGTACACATGTTCACAGAGAAAGTAAGAGCTTAATCTTTTTGCTGGGGCTCTGCATCATAAAAACTGGATGTCGTGTTTCACAAAATTCTCCATATTTCTGAACGTGGTTGAAGTCAGCCCTGTCATTAGGCCAGGTAAAGCAGCCATCTCAGATAAAAGATGCCAGAAGACAATGGTGAATCTCCCAGAGCTTTATTGAGCTTTCACACCAATACTGGCTTTAATGCCTGCCTTCTGCTACATAAGCAATTGTTGTTCTCAAATACAGTAGGGGAGTATCCTATCACCAATGTTGAAATACGTGTCAAGAGGCAAGACATCTGAATATTCAATATGAAATATGGAGAGGGCTGATGATGGCATGTCGCTAATGTTTTGATCCATATTGGCCTATCTAGGCCAAATATTCCTTATTCCTAGAAGACGTTTTTATCTTCCTTTTTCATTGACAAGCAAGAATAATGTCAAACCTAAGAGAATCATAATGAATTTTATACTGTAGAACAGTGGTCTCCAACCTTGGCAACTTTAAGACCTGTGGACTTCAACCCAAAGCTGGCTGAGGAACTTTGGGAGTTGAAGTCCACAGGTCTTAAAGTTGCCAAAGTTGGAAACCACTGCTGTAGAACAAATAATATTTCAAACATGAGCAATGTTATCATGGGGTGCAAGAGAAGATTTAGCTTAGAATTAAAAAAAATACTGAAGAAGAATGTTTGCAGCTGAATCTGTGACAAGTTTACAAGAAAATAAAAACCACATAGGAACTGGTTACCTTGAACAGAATATCTGTACACATGGCCTTTCCATGTGTTATTATTGGTTCTTGATCTTCCCCCTTTCCATCCCAGCAGTCAAGTTCGATACACCTAGAAGTCAAAGCGAAAGAAAGATGGAATACAGTAATCACAACAGTTAAGTTGTAAAGAACAATATAGTTCTATTCAAATTATTGGTAAATACTCATTTTAAATATGTATAGTTTTGCACATCATCTAAAAGGGATTAAGAAATGCCAATATATTTTCTTAGTGGGACTTGCAGTTTCATCAGATTTAATTTGCAGGTAATTAAAATAATTTATATGTACAAAAATGAAATACATGTGACCAGTATAATTTATTATTTGGTGGTAACATATAATCAAAGGAATCAGCATTCAGATTGTATTTTTAAAAACCTATTCCTTATTGTGCTTTGTTTGTCCCATAATTTCTTTCAAGATATTGAAATATATTTCTAGAAATCCTATTAATAGGTTTTCAACATATATATGCATGCAGATTCCCTCAATCATCAAATGTGATGGCAAATTAAATTTACTGAATTAGAGTTTTAGCCTCCCTTAAGCACGTCTCACCTGCATCCAGCCAAGAGGACTTGTCTATACATCTCCACTGATGACTTTCCACCAAACTGCCTTCCTGTGAGATATGTGTTGTGGGAAGAGCTAATAAAATAGTGAGCCAGAGGTTGTTCCATCTCTTGATAGAGCTCTAAACGGTCTAGGAAGACAGGGGCATTTTCATCTGACATCAAGTACCGGCAAAACCCATCACTTGACATGACACCTAAAAGGAACAATGCACAATGTTAGAATGCAAGCTTTATCATTATTCTAAAATTGGGCTCCTAGTTCATTCCCTTAATCTGAGATAGCAATTTGATGAAGAAGACAAGTGGAGGGGTTCTTGATTCCTGATTGATAAAGGGTATCCAACCTTTCCTAGAAATAGGACCAGATTCTAAAACAGAGTTTACTCAAAGACGATTTTCCTATTTAAAGAGGCAAGACACATACAGGATGTTCCAGGATTATGGAGCGAACCAGTCTATCTCCATTTGCCTCTATTTTTAAGATAAAAGAAATGTTTAATCAGTTATAGAAATAAAAGGCAGCTTGGAAATCAAATCAATCTCTCCCTTTGCTTAGAGTGTTATCTGCAATGCAAGACAAAACTACTGGTTAGGAGGATCACAAGCCATTTAGGACTTTAAAGATTAGAGCCAGACCAGCATTTTAAATGGAGATTGGAAATACAGTATACTGACAGTCAATGCAGGCAGCAAAACAATAGCCTAACAGAATGCCTCAAAGGCTCTTTTAAAAGATGGACAAAGTATATCGGTGTTTCTCAACCTTGGCAACTTTAAGACATGTGGCTGGTTGGGGAATTGAAGTCCACACATCTTAAAGTTGTCAACACTGAAAAACCCTGAAGTATAGCAATAGCTCTTAGACTCATATACCATTCCAGTGTGCTTTACAGCACTCTCTGAGTAGTATATTGGCCCTACAATCTGAGTCCTCATTTTACAATGTAATCTACAATGAAACAAAAGTTAAGATGGCCTATGTACAGAGTAGCTGACAACAAGCAAGCTGAACCTTTTTTTAACCGAAATGATTGACATCCACCATTCTTTTTACCTTTATTTTTCAAATCTTCATCTGGTTCATATGTTTCAATTATCTGCATCGCTCTTTTAGGATCAAAGAATGGAAATAAAATTTCATTCAGCCGAGGATCTCGTTGATGCTAAGGTAAGAAAAAACAAGACTGATGAAAATTACTACATGCTGTTTTGCTTCTACAAATCTTTCATCAGTGCAAGTAATATTCAGGAGGGGCTTGCTTTTAAAGTCAATTAGACTTCTATTTTTTTTCTTGACTTTTTTTTAGATCTATATTTTTGCAAGTAAATTTTATTTCATGTTCAGTATAATTCTGTGCTCTAATGGTATGTTAGTACAAATGACTACAATGACTACAAATATTCACCAAGAAACAAATGCATGCAATAAGAATCCTTTATCTACATTACTGCCCACATCATAAATCATTAATAAAACATTCCCTATCTCAGCCTTGAATTAAAATGCTTTTGAAATTCCCACATTTGGATAATTATGTATGTATGTATATATATATATGTATGTATGTATGTNGTATTTAGGTATAGCAGTGGCAACCTCAAAGGCAGTAAAGTACATCACTAGGATAGTTTGTAATTTTTGTCCAGTATGAATGCGCACATGCGCGCAATGGATGCATGTGTCTTTACCTCTTGCAACGCTCCGCAACACTCCAGCTACTTGGCGGAGTGTCGCGCAGGCACCGTACGCTCCGTGCAAGTGCACAGAAGCGCTGAAGAGCTCAAATACAAATTAGGTGGGCGGGTGGGCCCTCTGGAGCACTGTACCGGAACGGTACCCGGTGCTCCCGGCAGGCACCGGTATGCCCGTCCCGGGGTGTACCGCCTGCAACCCACCACTGCATTGAACTAAATAGCAACACCAGCATTTATACAATTTACAGCTGAATTCCACTATTTGTCTTTTTAGATCAAAGATGATCTAAACTGCTATAACTGCTGAGAGCTGCAGATTTGGAGAATTGCAGGTCCCCGTCATTATTATAGTTCTATAATGATTATAGTAATTTCTTGAATTATCAGTAGTACATTCAATAACAACCTGAGCAAACACTTCAAATAACTTCTTTGAGCCATAACTTTAATAATTTGCAGTGCTTAGCTCTGTAACTGGGGTAAACACCAGGATGCTGTTCAGATGCTATACAGTATCTAAGCCAGCATGGAAAGTAAAAAGGCATATGAGATTTTTACTTCAAAACATTTTTAAGAACCTACCTTTCTTCTGAATATATAGGATTAATAATTTCCTAATTCTAGCAAAGGTGTTTTAGAGGGCTAAATGGTTATGCTATTTCTATTAAATTTCAATTCTATCCCCAAAATAACGGAGGTTTCTCTAGCAGGGTTATACAGTGTTTGCATTGTTTATTTCACTATTCACTTTTGAACAACATCCGATCAGGATAGAAAATATTGTTGAATCATAGATGCTAGGCACAGATTACAGCGCTTTACCTTAGTCAACAGACTGTTAAACTATATTGCTTCTAATGGACTTTCTGAGTTGTGATTGTTATTTATTTTAATTTCACATCCATACAATGCCTGCATCACCCCACATTTGAAGCTTACCTTCTAACTGGAATTTTGCCATTAGTGTTAGTCAAAAATGCCAATTTCATCCAGCTAGAAGGGGGAAAAAAACCAATTAGACTTTTTCCAAAATAATCCAATAAAAACTCATTTTTTATATTTTCATTTTGTAAGATGAACTGTAGAAGGATTGTTTTAAATTGCAAAGTATAAAAGTGGGGCTTTAAAAGTTCAAGCAATTTACACATGAAGTTATGTAAGAACTGAGTCAAATGTTCAAATGTTAACTTTCATGCCTTCTTGCATTTTACAAAAGACAAATTGTTGCTTGTCACTCACAAGACTAATTTCCTACTATTGGTGTAAAGAAGCCTTAAAGGGGGCTTGACATAAACTCAGTTTGATCAGAGAAGGTGAGAGGCAGCTTTCTGAAATTTGGGCAGAAAAAGTCAGACTAATGAAAGTCAGTTGCAGCTGAGTTATTATTCTATTTTACAATGAACCCTGGGATTCTAAAACAGAGATGAGCAATGGGCCACATCTGTCTCTTAGCCTTCTGGAGGGGACAGGAGACCATGCAGTGATATCATAATACCAATCAAAGTAACACAATTGACATTTTCCACCTATTTTTAAAATACAAACTGCTGCTATTCTGACCCATAACCCTGCCCTTTAAAGCCCTTTTCCCCCATAGCCTGAAAATTCACTGCTAAATGTTATTGCCATTTCAGGTCATTTTTCCAGGGTTGAATGGGCAGTTTTAAAAAAGAGAATGGAAATGATTTGCTTCACACAGCCCTCTCATTTTTGTTTCTATCATTATTATTCTTATTATTTTGTGGTTGGAGGGAGTGTGTGTGAACACTAGAAAACAACTTCTGAAATTGTGCTTCATGGCTCTGCATGTTTGTAAGATGTCCTTAGGTTATTGAAAGACATTAACCACATGCTGGCTACAAGTATCTTTGACACTATTCTAAAAGTTCTAATTGAATGAAAATGCTCCAAACTTTTGGACAAATTGGGAAAAAGAGGGAAATTATTTCCTCTGACTACTATTCTGTTATCATGCCTTCTTTAATGCCTTCCTTTACAGTCATGCTAGAATGGACACAATTTAATACACATGAAATATTTAATTCTGCTGTAATGGATGGAAAGCTTCAGTTGAAATGTTTTTTTAGCATCGAAGAAATAAAGCAACTACTGAAGCACTTTTGATAACATTTGTTTGAATAGCTATGTACTACATATTATGAGTGAGAAGAGGCAATGCTGGTTACTCTACACATATTCTCACTCTCCAGAGAGCAAATATGTTGGTGTTTCTATGTTCCATGAGCAATGTGAATAACGGAAAGGTGGCATGAGATACACTTGAAGTCCCTTGAATGAAGAAAAGCAGGAATTTCTGCACTCTCTGGAGGGCTTTACTGAAAGGGTGCTAAAAGCTAACGGGTGATGTAAGGGGGGCTTAGTGTGTCTGTGTATCCAACACTTACTTCAATTTACTTCTACAACTTGTTTTTCAGATATATTCTACAATAACCTCTGTCATCCACAGCAGAGATGCTCTGTGGCAAGTCATTCAGCCTAACATTTTGGAATATAGAAATGACAATGATGCTGGAACCATATACATGCAGCTCAGCTAAATCCCCCAAGGGTTCTTCCTACATCAAACAAAGATATTCCAAGTAGTTTTAGAGCAAATGGAGGGCCGAAAGATGAGTAAAGAGGTTCCAGAATTTCCTCAGATGAGTCTGCTCTAAGTCTCTCTTTAAGACTATTATGCATCCTGAGGACTTGTATTCCCAAGGGTGCTTTTTCCGAAAGGTGATTGTTTTTTTCCCCTGAAGAAGTATCACTTCTCATCAAGAAACTACTTCAGTTCTGGATGAGGTAGAACATCTTCAAAGAAAAAACAAAGAAAAGTCCAGTTGTCTTTTGGAAAAAACACCTTTGGGACAATCATGACATGTTTGACTGAGAATCTCCATATATATTAAGAAATTGTATCTTCTACTGCTTGGAGAGCAACAACAGTTTCTGAGGGGAAATAGCATTTAAGGAAACTGAGAAGGACTAGAAAAATCTTTTCAAATTTGTTGCTACTAAATCTTTTAGCTTTCTTTTTGAAGAAATGAAAAAGAGGGCTTACAAAGCATAGAAATATACTCGAGGGTAATCTGAGCAGGGTAGGAAGATTACAACGAAGTATTTGGTCTCAGATGCATTTTCTAATGTTTTGAAATATTCTCTGAGAAGTTTCATAAATCAAAGAATAATTCAGCTCTGGATCCATATGAAATAAGAATATTTGTATGTAAGTGAACAGCCATTCTCCCTCTTGAACCAGGCAAAGCTAATAATTAAAACTGCCTCTCTCAACAGTTCATAAAATCCAACAGTAAACTCCCTTAACTTTTGAACTTTGGGGACATATTTTATTTGTGGAAAAAAAATGTGAGGAATAAATTAATATCACATTTCTCATGGATGTTTGTATCGTTGGGGAATGTCTTCTGCAGTTTATCCAGGTATTTATTTCTTGTTGTGCCAAATAAGGAAAGGGAGGTTTTTAAAATGCACATCAAGAAACAGGTAAAATGAACAACATCGTAATTGAAGAGGTGAGGGGAATAAAGCTTACTGTTTCTTGAGGCATGTTGTGGGACAAACATTGTTGGCTCTGAAGTTACCTATAATTGATCTGAGTCCATCAATCCATTGCTGAAAGACAAAAAAATAAACAAGTGCACATAGTGACCACCCAATCAATCAATTTAAAAGCAATATAACTACAGAAACACCTTTGAGTAACACGTTAGAATAATTAGTAGTGCTTATATATCAGCTCTAGACTTACTTGGAAAATTTTGCACGTATTCAATGCACATCAAACAATACAAAATCTTCTTACAATCCATAGATATACCACCTAACAGGTTTCTCCCCATAAAGGTAGTCTTAGACTTAACAATAGCTTGTTTACTGACTATTTGAAGTTACAATGGCTCTGAAAAAAGTAAGTTACAGCCTTTTTCACACTTATGACGGTTGCTGCAACCTCATGGTCACATGATGAAAATTCAAATGCTTGGCAACTGACTCATATTTATGACAGCTGCAGTGTTCTAGGGACAAGAGATCACTTTTTGCAAACTTCTATAAGCAAAGTCAATGGATGAGCTAGATTCATTAACAACTGAGTTACTAATTTAACAATTGCAGTAATTGGCGTAACAGTGGCAAGAAAGGTCGTAAAATGGGGCAAAATTCACTTAAGAAATATATCATTTAACAACAGAAATTTTGGGATCCATTGGAGAGCCGAGGTGGCGCAGTGGTTAGGGTGCAGTACTGCAGGCCACTTCAGCTGACTGTTATCTGCAGTTCAGCGGTTCAAATCTCACAGGCTCAAGGTTGACTCAGCCTTCCATCCTTCCGAGGTGGGTAAAATGAGGACCCGGATTGTTGGGGGCGATATGCTGACTCTGTAAATCGCTTAGAGAGGGCTGAAAGCCCTCTGAAGCGGTATATAAGTCTAACTGCTATTGCTATTGTGGTCGTAAGTAAAGGATTATCTGTACTACAGAAAGGAAAATGATTGGGAAGGGGAATGTGACTTACTTCGGTGAGTTCACAATATTTACTATCATGTTTCCCAGAACTATTATCACATTTGGAAAAAAATATTACCACTGTGACGTCTCACAAGGGAAAAAGTCCAGTGGTTAAAATGCTGGCCTTGAAACCAGCGGACTGTGAGTTCTAGCCTTGCCTCAGGAATGAATGCTGTTTGGGTTACTCCAGACCAGTCACTCTCTCTCAGTCCAACTCACCTCATAGGGAAAATAGGAGGAGGAAAGAATATTAAGTATGTTTGCCACCTTGGTTTACTTATTAAGAAATAAAGGCAGGCTAAAAATCTAATAAAGAAATAGAAATTCAGTGGAGATTTGTTTATTATTTTGTAAAAAAAAAACAATGGTACAGCTAAAGTTTTACATCTTACAATTAACAAATCAAGTGTTTTATTAATCTTTTCATTAATAATTTGGGGGAACACCCAAATATCTGTTGCTGATATCTTCTGCTCACCATTAAGCAAATTTATTTATGATACTATTAGCTGAATTGAAGGCAATTGTAAATCAATATTGTGTTAAATAATGTTCCCATCCTTTTCTATTCATCTATGTACAATAGTGCTCCCTTCCCCTTTTTACCTATATAAAATATTTTATGATTTTCAGATTTTGTACAGTGTAACTCAGAATTTAATACACATCTGAATTTAATAGCAATGTAGGCAGCCCAAAAATAAGCCATGAGCATAGAGCCTTTCTAGATTGGTATAAATTAAATTGGTATAAGCAGGGTTACTATTAGAATACTTGTAACACACAGTAATTAATAAAGTTGGTAATCCAGTTACCAAAGAGGAAGGAAGAGAAGAAAGAATGAGATTTATTGATGGATTTATCCATTCCAAACTTTGTATACTTCTAAAATTAGAAATCATTTTAATGCATAAATAGCTCATTTTTATGATGAGGTCATTGGACCACATTCTCAACCAATTACAGGTAATTCTCAATTTATGCCGTTTAATGGCAGTATTTTAAAAAAATTATTTATGACCTGTCCTTAAAGTTACAACTATCACACTATCCTCCAGATCATGTGGTTATAACTCAGGGACTTGGTGAGTAGTTTGCATTTACAACCAATCACAGTTTCTTATGATCATGTGATAGCAGTTTGCAAGATTAGCCAATTTCTGACACGTAGCATCTATTGGAGAAGCCAGATTCATTTAAAAATCATATGATTTGCTTAACAACTGTAGTAAAAGGCATAAAATTGGTTCAGTCACATGATGACTCACTTAACACCATTGTTTAGTGACTGATATTCTGGTGGCAATTGAGATAAACTGAGGACTACCTGTAAGGGCAAAAGATCAATGATAGTTTTATCAGTAGACATTTGGCACAATTTTTGCTGGGACTTCCATGTATAGAAATATCTAATAATTTCCCCCCTCCCAGATGTTTGATGGCATTCAGAGCTAACTAATTTATAAACTATTTTAACTAATTAATAGTTACAAATTAGGATTTATATGCTAATTACTATTCTGTCAAATAAGAAAACAATTATCTCTCTCTCTGACTTTCTCCTATTGAAAAAAGCTTGTTTTATACAGATGACTTCTCTTCTGTAAATCATGATACTGAATTCATATATTTGAAGTACAAATACAAAATTGTCAAAATAATCTCCCATTACAAAAAGCGAGTGTTTTTTGCAGCATATGAAAGACTAAAAAAAAAGTCTAAAAAAAAGTAGCCTCTTGTTTTAAAAATGAAAGACTTATACATTTCTTCCAAAGTTGCACCACCAGGTGTCAGCAGAGGTTTGGAATATAATACAGTTGCAGAATTGTCCAGAAATTGGGGAAGAAAAATATGTTGATATTTCTCTAAAATAATATTGCAACCTTGATTTTAAGAAAATAAATTATGGAGACCTGTACTTTACAGAAGTGACACATGAAGAAGTAGAGAATTCTGAATCCACAATTTAGTATCTACCAATATTGTAGCTACCTTATAAATACTCTTATTACCTCTTTCCATAATTAATAATTGTGTAAAAACTAATGTCTCCCATGAACAAGCTCTGAATGCATAGAACAGCTAAAAAGGTAAGCAAGGAGAGTACTAACTATAATCCCATTTTTATATAATCTACCCTTTCTGCTTGGACTTCTCTATCCATTCATATCATAACCTATAAACACCACAAAGTAAGATCCTTGGCTATCTAATAATCCAAAATAAGATCTCTCCAATTTTACATACATACTTTACTCAATGACTTTACTCATTTACGGTATAATTAATGCCGTCATCTGGCGATATCAAGCAGAATTTGAATCCATCCTATCTCATCTCAGACTGTAACTAAACAGTTTCCTTCCAGTTGGTTACCTTCTATATGTGCTGCAGAAATTTTACACAGTTCAAACTAATATACATCAGTTTTAAAAATAAATACCTACTTTGCTTCAGAAAAGTATGAGAAGATGTGCATCACAAATAGAATCAGCATCTTACAGATATTTATTTATCACATTTCTATACCACCCATCTCAACTAATTGGCTGCAGGCAGTTTACAATTAAAAAATACATAGTATAAAAGCATAAATAAGAACAAAGATAAAACAAAATTTAAAAGATAGGGCTATAATTGTTATAAAGTTAATAAGTTAATAAGAGAACACCCTCACAAAACCAACCCTCCCAAGGATCACATAGCACTCTTTGACCTCCACAACAAATGGTACGATCAGTTCTTTCTGAAGGCCAGAAGAGGTGCCTTATCTCTGAGATCAAAGTGTTCCAGAAGGCAGGGATAATGGCAAAGAAATTTCTCTTCTTGGATCCCACCAGTCAAAAATTTTTAACCCACAGGATCTACAGCATACTGTCCCTGACTAACCAGGCTGGGATGGGAAGATAAAATTGGGATGAAACACTACATTACAGCCTCCTGCTCAAACAGGAGACCTTGTAGGGCCTGTACCTTTTTGGATAAATGGCTGTCCACTTCAGCTTTTCACACCTTCTCAGTTCCTATGTACACCATTCTGGTTTCAGTTTTGAAAATCTTATCTTCAGTTTATCTTGTATCTACTATTATTAAGTTTATTACTTGTGCATGTCTTACAAAGACCATTCCCAAAAGAGTTTACCACTGAAAATTAATAATCATCTAGACCCAAGCAAATGTTGGGGCATCTTTTCTGTGCTCTAGTCCTAAATTTTTTACTTTACTTTCTCAGATGATAAATAAACTTTGTTCAGCAGCAGTGGATTTGAGGACAAACAATTTAACTCAAAAAAAATGCACAAGCATAAATTTATCCATAGCTATTCAATATATATGGAAATATAGGTTGAGTATGTTATATACTGAGCATGTTTTACACAGAAACAGACACACACACACACACACAATTAAAAGCAGCTTCAGTTTCAATCTTGCAAATTTGACATAAGTGTGCCTGAGTATTTTGGATGCACTTTCTATACTCTGACAAATAATTCACACCAATGCGGAATGATTGTCCAAAGCCTTCTTGATCTAACGTGATGAATATGTTAAAGTGGTATCACACATTTGGAAAAAATACATGAATGTGAAAATGCAATTTCAAATTAATATGATTTCTGAAAAGTCTAGGAGAACAGAACGAGAGGCATAAAGCAAGGAAACATTAAGGGGGCTGGTTTGCATTGTTACAAAGGACAACCTAATATTGTGGAACAGATGTAGCTAAAAATATGTAAGAAAAGACTATCAGAAACAGAAACACTGTGTACAAGCAGCAATGAAATGTTACTTTACCCACATTCTCATCTTGGCTACCGTTTGTTGCACACAGAGTTTAGTTAAAGACTTGGTTTCATAAAATGTAGGAGTACCTGACTCTTCAAAATTCATTAACTCACTATCCTTTAACCCTATTTCAAATCAATGTTACACAAGGTTTTTCTTTACTGGAAGAACTTCTGTTAGGACAGCCTATATCTGCATTTGCCTTTATTCTCTGTTCTCTGGGAAAATATACTCTCAGGCAGAATCTAGGAACTGCCAGGTTTTTCAAACCGAGTTTAATATTCAATGCTAATCCTTGAATTATGCAATTCTTAGATTTCTGCATAAATACTATTGTCTAACACCATTGAAATACCATTTCTGACTTGTTTTATTATTGGGAAATTGATACTGGATAATTTGTAATCCAACAACACCTGAAGGACCTCATGCTTCTCACTTAATCTTATAAAATATTATTTTTACATATAAAGATCAATCAAAATAGAGCTGGAAGGGACCTTGGAGGTCTTCTAGCCCCCTGCTCAAGCAGGTAACCCTAAACCATTTCAGACAGGTGGCTGTCTAGTCTTTTCTTAAAAGCCCTGAGAGATGGAGCACCCACAATTTCCAAGGGCAAGTCGTTCCGCTGGTCAATAGTTCTCACTATTAGGAAATTTCTAAAAAAATATTTAGTTCTATGTTGGTTCTCTCCTTGATTAGTTTCCATCCATTGTTTCTTTTCTTGCCTTCTGGTGGTTTGGAAAATAGGTTGACCGTCTTTTCTTTGTGACAACCTCTCAAATATTGGAATACTGGAAAACAACACTATTATGCAGCTGTCCTTTAAAATAACAAAAACTGGAGCACTTTACAATGAACAACACTTGCTGTACCTTAAAGTCTATATATAATGTTTTCATAACAATATATTCTTATCTTCTTATTCGAATTAAACATGAAATGTAATACTGTGCATTAAAGGTTAATCGTTGTTTTGTAAAACCTTCTTTGGTTTAAGATGCTATTAAATTATCATGGACATTAAATTAAGCTTCTCTTTCTTCTGGCAGATTATCTGCATTTACTCAATAGTCCCTGAAGTAGCATCTTTTTGAAAATATAATCTTTCTACTTCATGCAGAGCAACTATAGTGTTTCTTTCTAATACTAGAGCAGTTCTGGGAAAAGTGCCTTGGGATCTAATGAATTCAGAGCATCACCTGATCCACCTTGAACATGTTTCTGAACTGTCTCATTACCACTTTTCCATAAGTGAAGAAGGAAAACAGCAGCTGTAAAAATTGCTCTGCCACTCTGCCTCTGTAACATGGATAAGCAGTTTGCATGGAATACACACAGACATAGATATACACATATACTTTCAAGGACCCTAAACTTAGGGTCAGCAATTTAGTGGCTGAATTTTGTTTTGTTACTTCCATTAATCAAATATCAGACAGTTTATCCTTCCTTACTGTACAGCCCTTCCTACCATTAAACACAATATATTTTTAAGAAAGTGCAGATTATGATCTTGTGTATAAATTTGAAGTCAGTCCTCATGACTTCTAGTTCAAAGGGTTACAGATTACATCTCTCACTGCAGTGTAATTGCTTATCACACATCTACACATTTCCTAATTGTCACACATTTTTCCCACACAGAAAAAACACCCAGATAATTTGAAAAGCAGCGCACCAATTCAGCTGAGTAATCGGATTAGCTCATTTTTGCCACTGATGTCAAAAGATCTGTGTTTAGATTAATAGTTGCCAACCTCTTAAATACTAGGGATTTACATAGAACAATAATGCCACAAAACACCAAAGCTATCTTTAGCTGCAGTACCTTAGCGTCTTCAGTGCTTTCCGCTACCATGTATGTGAAGTTGAGGTTCACCAGATCAGTGCCACTACAGACACAAACTATCCGTCCTTCAAGTTCATTTTCTGCTTTACTGACAGCTTCAAGGGCAGCTAATATTTTTGGATCCTGTTGGACAAAATTAATTGCTTGAAAAAAAACCCTCATGGATTAAAGAAAAGAAAATATATTGCTCATTTTCACCCATAAGCATTTCTTGTTTCTATTTACCTTCTTTATATTTTTGCCATTATTCCAAGGACATGTTTAGAAGTATTTCATTTTCTACTTAGGCAGGTAATAGTATACACAAATCATAGTCACATAAGTTAACTGATAGGGGTTTATTTACATTCTGCCTGTGAAGTAGTAACAATAATTCTTGGGTTCTGGATGCAGTAACCTTACCCAAGTGAAATACTCTGATCATAGTTATTGGAGAGAAAAAACAGTGTACCTTGGGATTCACTTCCCCAACTGACACCTTCCATATATGCTGCTACTCGCCAGACAGCATGTCCCAAAGGTGCTTTTTCAAGAGGCAACTGGGCTTTCTGGCTTTTCTTTGAAGACATCTCTCTTCTCATCTAAGAAGCTTCTTCAGTTCTGTCTTCAAAGAAAAACCAGAAAGTCCAGTTGCCTCTTGAAAAAGCACCTTTGGGACAACCATAACCTGGATGACTGAGACTCCCCATAACCACAGACAGCATATAATACCAAAACATCTGGGAGACACCAAGTTGGAGAAGATACCTTAGGAATAAATCAGTGGCTTCTATTCCTTATTCAAATGAGAACATGGGATCTTTTAAAAATAAGTCCATATAAAAGACTTACAAAGACAAAGCACATTCTGGAGCCACTTGCTTCATATTTAGCATTCAAGTAAAGTTTTACTTACACTCTAGTTTGCTTGACCAAATGAAATGGGGGTGGGTGGGAAGGATTATTTATTGCCACTACTTCAAAGAGTAATTTGTCTGGGAGCAATGTTGATTTTCAAGTAACATTAAATTTAGCTTTCACAAACTGTTTTGCATTTACAGGAAAATTTCATCACCTACGGTCAACTAATCATTACAGGATTAGGTTACATTCTCTGAAGTTTGGTGTAATGGTGAAGATGCTGGCCTAGAAACCAGGAGACTGTGAGTTCTAGGCATGAAAGTTGGCTGGGTGACTTTGATCCAGTCACTCTCTCTCAGCCCAATCACCTAACGAGGTGAAGCTTGAGGGAAAACAGGAGGAGGAAAGAACATTAAGTTCACTGCCTTGAGTTATTTAAAAATAATAAAGGCACAATAAAATATATATATAAACATTTGACTATATTGTATCTGTCTGCCTTCGGATGAATGTATGAACACAATTTAGATTCACAGAAGGCGTTATCTTTATACCACCAGCTAAACTAACCAATACTCCCACTGCAGAAGGGGAAATTATGTTAGAAGCATGAATGAAAAAGTATTAGTCTGTGAAATTTATCATTACCCTATGGACAGACTAGAGAAAAGCCAGGGGTAAGGAACGAGATAAATTTCAGATGGCCTGCTCAAACATAATCATGTCATTTTGATGTAGAAGCTTCCAGTTTATTGATCCCATTCAAGAAAACCTATTTGGATGGTTCCATCTTAATCAGAATCCCAAAGAACAAATGTATATTAAAATACTTATTATTATCGTGATCATAGCCATCAATGTCTGAAGGTATTCTGAATCAAGAAGCCTTGATTTAAGGTCTAGATTTTATTTTTAAATGATTGTGATACAATGCAAGCATCAGGATAGAGCTTCTTAGTGCCAGAGATTTACATGGGAAAATTTCAGCACATGCTTCAATATTTGCCACTAAAAAAACTCAGATCTATGGGTGCAATATATCTTTTGTATGTAAACACTTCTAAATTATCTGATCTTCACCAAAAGTTAGTTTCATCAGCCCAATTTTTCAAAATTAAAAAGTCATTGACCCTTAAGGGTACAAAGTTCTTGAAACAGAAGATAATTTCCATTCCTGGGCCTCAAGCCAATAGCAATTGTTTAAAACAATACTTTAAAACAAAACTACAGAAATACCTTTGGTACTGCTCCAAAGCGAATACTGTTGATCAGGGAACATTCTAAAACTTGCCCTTCCTGGAAAAGAAAAGAACATCATAAATGCCAAACAACCAATGTCATGTATCTTGAAATAGAAAATGCACCAACAGCTAAGCATTTAAAAATACACAAACTTAATTAATACCAGGCAGTATATATTATATTAATGTCAGCAAAAACAAACATGGAAAACCTGTGCTCTCTAGAATTTGTCAGACTCTAAAGGCCATCATATCTGACCATTGGTCATGGTGGATGAGGTCTGATGCGGAGGGAGTGATCACAACACAGTGGTCACTCCTGATGCATAATGGGCAAAGCAAGAGGCCCAGAAGGGACCCTCCCAAAGTTATCAGGCTATATCAGTGATGGTGCAAGAATTGTACTTTCAGACTTACAAGGTCCTATTAATTCTGCTTTCAACAAAGCAGAATTGTTTTATTTGGCCATGTTTTCTGTCTGGTCTACCTGAAAAGGTTGACATCTGTGGAAAGGTGGGAATTTTTTTTGCTCTTCAGAGGTTCTTCCGGGAACTCCACAGTGCTAATGGTGAAAGTTGCTAGGTGGTGGAGTTCAGTAGCACCTGGCCAAGGTTTCAAAGTGCTACACCATTACCTCCAGAGAAAATAAATTCAGCAACTTCATTCACACTCATCCCTATCATAATTTCCTACATTCAACTATACAAAATGTGGCAAGATCAATACTGAATTATTAGATGAAAGGAGAAAAAATGAGTTGTTGCTATACAGGTACAAACCTGAGGTAAGTAAAGAATGGCTAGAAGATATAGAACAAGGATTGCAAGTACACACAGACACACACACACCACTTTCTATCCATAAATACATTTTCCCCTTTTTCTTATTAATGGATGGAACTAAATTATTGGCAGAAAATTATTTTCTTCCCTTCAAACCAATATTACAATCTTTGGAATATTTCTTTATCATTATACCTTTAATAAGTTGAACTAGTCTGGTGTTCTCTAGTTGTTCAGTTTCAATTCCCATAATCGCTCTACAGCAATGCAATAGTAGTAGCAGGATATTACAGGAGCTGTCTCAACAAATTACAAGCTAGAGCATTATAATCTAAAGCCCTAATATATGGAAAGAGTGCCTCTCACTAGAACAGCTAGAACTGTACCTTATGCTTGTTAGAGGAAGCAAAAAATCAATCAATCAATCATGTGATCATTGTAAATTTTACCTTTCCTTCACTTTTCCATGATAGAAAAAAGCCAAATTCATCAACTTTAAAGAGGCAGCCTGGTTCAAAAACAGAAGATTCCTGTTGAAAGAGAAACCCAAAATACTCAGGTCTGCAAGAAAGAATTTAGAATCCAAATTAGCCACCTTTTCAAACAATTTCAGAGACAAAATATGTTAAATGAATAACTAAAGCAGCAACATGATCTTTATAGAAATGTTACTCAATGGAGTTAAACAGTATGATCATGAAGTACTCTACTAGGTTTACAGCTTTTACCTATGAAGGAATATTCTTAGGTCCTAGTAGATTTCTATAGTGACTTAAGGATATAGCTCACCTTTTCCCCAGGCCCAAATTATCCTACTTTAGATACATTATGCAAGAATACATAATCTAGAGAAAACTGTAATGCTGGGAAAGGTAGAAGGAAAGAGAAGAAGAGGCAACCAGCAGCAAGATGGATGGACTCAGTTACAAAGGTGATGGATGCATTGTTGAAAAAGCTGAAGGATTAAGTAAGGGACATCATGAAGAAAGTCTATGCAGTTGCTAAGAGTTGACAACAACTTGATGGCACGTAATTGTCATCATTACCACCACCACCACCTTTTCTATGAACTTGGGTATTCTACACCAGAGATTAGCAGGGATGGGTTCTCACCAATGATATTTTTGGAGAGAGATTTCTAAATCTGACATTTCATTCCAATTTTTAGTTTAAAACAATTACTGGAAAATTTCTCTGATTGAGATATGAAGAAACCACCCATTTTACAAACTGTATCCAAGGTAAAATTGCAACTGTTGGAAGTTTACCCACGTCTACCATTCAGTGCAACAGTCTGCTTGATTCCTGCATAGGAATTACATATGAAGTTTGGTTTGTGTCATGGAAATAATTTCCCTCCACATGTATTAAAGCACTGCATCCTGTTGGAAAAGATTGTCTGCGTATTTCTAATACCAGATAGATATTTTTTATATTTGGGGTGAGGAAGTAAATACTGGAACATATTTTTCTAAGAAAAAATCATTCAGCAAGCTCCTTACATTTTATTATTGTATGCTACAATTATTGGGAATGAGATTTGCAACAATCTTAGCAGACTTTAAATCTTTAAAAGTACCTTTTTTATTTAAAGTGCTAAGAAAATGGGGTAATTGTATCACCAAAGAGGGTAATTGGGATTTCAGCCTTTTACTTACTTGTCATATTAAAGAGAATGTTCAGCTAATCTATCAAATGCTTGAGATTCCGTTTATGCATGTTAAAGTATCAAACAATGCCAGACAAGTTATATTCAGTTAAACAAACTATCTACTACTAAAAGGAATGCTGATCCCATGGTTAAATAAAAGAACATTCTGCATTTTAATCTTTTGAAGTGCAATATGTTCCCTCACACATTCCTTGAGATGACCTCTTTTTATCCTTTTATGTTTACGCAAATCACTGAATTATCTCCCTTGCCTATATATTATATATATTTTTGTCCTCGATTCTATGGCTTTCCGAACTTCATTACACCGTAGTCTATGGACATTCTTTTCTTTCCAGACATTTTTCAATGAGGAATTTTAAAAGGATGGCAAAAAAGTAGGAATTCAATTGCTGCACATTCATAAAATAGCATTTTTAAAGACATGTACATTCACCAAGTTGAATGGGAATATTTATTATCATTTCCAAGGCTGTTTGCTGAAGGGGAACAATCATTCAAAATCTTTATATAGAGATGTATAATATGGATTAGTATTAGTTATAATTCTTCTTAGAGAGTAGGACTCTGGAGGAAGAGAACAGCTCTAATTTGTTTTTTTCTTCTCTGTATCATGGCCACTAGGATTCTTAAGTTAGGTTTAGCTCAAAATGAGTCTTTTTCCCCCCTATCTTGCACAGTGTCCACTTTCAGAAAAAGGTGGTGTTTGATATTCCTCTCTGATGCAGTAATGACCAGAAACAGATTTCTATTATTTGCCCTCAGAATGCAGCTTCCAGCTGTATTTTCAGATATTGTATAAGCTCCTTACCTCTTCGTATCTGTCAAAAATAGCTCCATCCTGTAGAAAGGAAGGCACTGGCTTCTGCCAGTTAAATTCATATGGTTTTGCCATTCTGTGGACCACCCTGAATAATTAAAAAAAGCAAATGAAACAAATTATTTAACTCTCATAAGGAAACACAAATGGTTAATTAGAATTATTCATACAATACTGCCACTTGTTCTTTATAGTAAATCCTAGAGAAAACGGTCTATTTAAATGAAAATCCAGACAAAGCTTGCCAAGAATCTGAATTTTGCCTATAGGGTATCTTAACTAGCAGTAACCACTATTTGAAAATTTGAGATTATATAATACTGGTAGGCATGCTCACAAAAGGCTCTATGGAGAGTGTGATAAGAACAAAGCATTCATTTATTGGAAAGCTAACTACTGAGAATGCCTATAACTTCTAGCATCCAGGCATACCCTTATTTACTTTATCTGTTTTCCAGATCAATGGGCATGTTTCTAAATCAGTACCAAGCAACTACCAATCCTTTTACTTTTGTAAAAGTACCCATGTTCTCCTTCTTAAAATGAAAGATGTGCTTTGCACATGATAGCCATCTATATGGGTTTTGTTATAGGAATAAAATAACATTTTTTTTAAAAAAAAATCACACTGGTGCAGAAGCCTGGCAGGTAGCAAAGAAAATATTCATTACATTGATTTTAGTAAATATTTATTCAGAAATATTTATAAGTCCTCATTTTAATCAACTGTTTGATTTTAAGTGATGGAATTGAGAATTAAACCATCATGACATTCATTAAGAATCTCATGATCTTTAGCTGAAAATGACAAACATTCAGGAACAAAAATGAAAACATTCATAATGCTATTTAATATTATTAATCAGAGAGATTTTTAAGTAAGCCCTAGGGCTACAAGTCAGAAAACATGAAGAGCATCAAAAGCAAGAGGCAGCTAAAGAAAAATATATGAACTGGTGATCTCATTAAAAGCTGCAATGTGGGGAGAGAGAAAAACATCAACAAAAAGAAAGACAAAACAGTTTAGCCTTGGCAAATTGCTGAAAAGTATTGCTAGACAATGTAATTTTCATTTGAATAAATAAAGCAGCCTTTATTTCACGTTCTAAAAGAATACACTTTACATGCAGAATTTAGATGAACCCTTTTTAATATTTTCAATTTAACGGTTTAGAAACAAATTTTGCAAAGGATTTCAGGCCTCTGGCTTTTTATCCACTTACAGGATAACCTTCAAGAGCACAAAGGAATGGGACTCAGAGTGGTGCTATTATTAAAAGACTGGGGGCGGGGGAGAGAAACATCTTGAAACCATGTTCAGCATTCTGTCCTTATCTTGTTACTCAATGGAATGTTGGAAACATATTATGCAAAAGCATTCAAGGCTCTTGCGGTACATCTGTCTGTCCATCAGCAGGATAACTCCACCACCACCCCTTGCTAAAAGAAAAGAGAGAATGGGATCAAATTTGGTATGGTAGTCAAAGCAAACAAGAGAAATGCTGAGTTTGAAAATTAGCTGGATTAGGTAAAGGATAGAAGAGAAAAACCTTCCAAAAAAAATTCTCCAATGCATTCCTGTGAGACGGAATAGGGCAGCAAGCCCCTCCCACTTCCTTCGTAGTCATTTGATCCAAGGCTATTTTAAGGAGTTGGAAAACATTCCAAAAACTCTGCTCTGTATCCTTTCTTTTACTCATTTGGTTGCAAGAAGGTTGGGAAGTGAATTGTAATTGGGAACATTAAATTAAAAATATCAAAAGAACTTATTTCAATACTTCTGGTTTTTTTTGTCTGCTGAAAATTAATACAGACATAACACATTACCTTAAAATAACACTCATGACCTTCAGAAAATTATGTTTTAGATTAAAAGCAAAAGCAAAGAAATTCTGAACTCCTTGGAGCTGAAGCACTAATATACAAACAGAACTTTGCCAAATAATGAACACTATTTCAGACTTGTAAAGGTAGGGAAAGGAAATTAATGTTATCTCAGCGCACTGTTCTTTTTTTTTTACCTTTTAATGTCAAATTGCTTTTGAAAGCAAGATACAGCAACAAAGATGTGCAATTATGAGAAAGGCAAAATACTCTTTTGAAAACTTGCTATCTCTTCCTGCAACCACCAACTCCTCAAAATTCTTGAAGATAATTTTACTTATGCTTTATACGTTCTAAACTCCATTATTTTATTTTAAGCTCCCAAAATCATTTGCTACAATAACCTTTACATGTGCATTGTAAAAAAAAAAAGTAATAAATGAAACCAAAATTTAATAATGAAATCTATGCTTTGCCATTTACTTGCTTCAGTTAAAAAGACAGGGCTTATTTGCTTTCTTTCTCTAAAAAAAATAAGACACATACATGGCTTATTTTTCTCTTACTGTATATTCTTATAACAACAGGAATAAGCAAAATCTTAGAGGGTTTAATATAAAATACATCGAAATATTGTGCATTGTTTTAAAGAAGACCTCCAGGAAGTACCATCTGAAAGCAAGGATTTTATATCCCTGCCCTACAATATAGTATGTACTCAAGAGTAATTTCCCCCACTGCTCCCCTAACAGTTAACAGCACAAAGGAAATTTATGTGTCACATTTGTGGAGCAAAGACACTCATGAGAGAATAGCATTTACTGCTGGCACATGATGAAATGATGAAAATCAAATCAACATCCTAATAAAACTTTCAGTTAGTGGTTATTTTTACTGCAATTCTTGACCATTTTAAACAAAAATGAAAAGCGTGTATGCAAAATAGAAACCAATGGTTTATAATTAAATAACTTCAACTATTAAGCCTACAAAAGACATCAGAAACATATTAATTGTGTTGACAGCTTCACTGCAACATGAACAGCTATCACATTTTGAATAACAATAAAAGGTACCTTTGTACGACTTTACAATGCATAAAGCATGTCATCTTGACCATAGTTTTAAATGTACCTTTAAAAAGTAGGCATCATTTTCTCTTAATATTATGGGAAAACTACAGCACAATAAAACCTCTGTCACTATTAGTAGATTCTTTGATGCAGAAGGACAATACATAAAAGTACTGATATGAAATACTTGCAGAATCTCTTCTCTATGGAATCAACATGAGGAAACTTTATGGGAATTTGTAAAATAATATCAGGAGTTTGAAGCCTCTTCTTGTTAGCAATCAAAAACTGAAGTAATTGTTGGTTGGTTTGGTTTGGTTGGTTTATTCGACTTGTATGCTGCCCTATTCCGGGAGGGACTCAGGGTGGCTGACAAACCAGAAGGGAAGGGTCACAATACAAAAAGTAAAAAGACAAAAACAAACAACAATACAAAACAATTTAAAAAGTCACAACACGCATAACAATTCGAGTAGGGGTGGAACTCAGCAGCCCCAGGCCTGCTGGAACAGATTTTAACGGCTTTTCGGAAAGCCTGAAGGGTGGTGAGGGTCCGAATCTCCATGGGGAGATCGTTCCAGAGGGCCGGAGCAGCCACAGAGAAGGCCCTCCTCCGGGTGGTCGACAACCGGCATTGGCCTGCAGATGGAATTCGGAGGAGGCCTAATCTGTGGGATCTGATGGGTCTATGGGAGGTAATTGGCAGAAGGCGGTCTCTCAAGTACCCAGGTCCAATACCATGTAGGGCTTTATAAGTGACGACTAGCACCTTGAAGCATATCCGGAGACCAATAGGCAGCCAGTGCAGCTCACAGAGGATAGATGTAACGTGGGTGTACCGAGGCGCACCCACAATCGCTCGCGTGGCTGCATTCTGGACAAGCTGAAGTCTCCGAACATTCTTCAAGGGCTGCCCCATGTAGAGCGCATTGCAGTAGTCCAGTCTTGAGGTCACAAGGGCGTGAGTGACTGTTGTAAGAGCCTCCCAGTTCAGATAGGGACGCAATTGGTGCACCAGGCGTACCTGGGCAAATGCCCCCCTGGTCGCAGCCGACAAATGGTGGTCTAAAGTCAGCTGCGGATCCAGGAGGACTCCCAAATTGCGAACCCTGTCTGAGGGGCGTATAATTTCAGTGTTAATTTGGATGCCAAATATAATGAATTTTGGTGATCAATGTCATATAATCTTAGCAAACCTAGTTGAACAATACACAATTGTTTTAATTTAACAATTTAATTGATAACCTTCATGCAACAATTTCTGCAACAGCTAATGAGATCATAAAGCAACTGCATCAAACTCTCTGATCCAAAAAGTAAGGAAAACTGGTCATCTGTGACAAAGAAAATTGAAACTAATCCAAATGAAATACTTCAGTAAAGATGCCAAAAAGTGATTTTAGGAAGAACACCTGAATATTCTGTATATTTAATTATTCCATGTACTTATTATATCCTATATTGAACTTAGTTACAATCCTAAATAGTTGTTTAAAAATAAAATATTATAAGTATATTTTATCTTAATAATTGACTGTTCTGCAAGAAAAATGCAGAGGGATTATATATACTACAAATTGGAGAAGAAAATCAGAAATCAATTTCTGCAATTCAGCATCATATCTTCTCAACTGAATACAGGTTGTCCTCAACTTATGACCACAATTGAGCCCAACATTTATGTTTTAAGTGAATTTTGCCCCATTTCATGACTTTTCTCGCCACATTTGTTAAGTGAATCACTGCAGTTCTTAAACTAGTAACACAGTTGTTAAGTGAATCTGGTTTCCCCATTGACTTTGGGGATCACATGACTCCGGGACACTGCAACTGTCATAAATATGAGTCAGTTGTCAAGCATCCAACTGTAACTCAGGTGACCATGGGGATGCTGCAACGGTCATACTGTGTTTTCCCCAAAATACGACCTGTCCCAAAACTAACGCCTTGCCACGCAAAAATATAAGCCCACCCCCCAAAATAAACCCCTTGGACAACACCCCTCTCCGGCCAGGAAGAGCACCGCTCACTGACCTAGCAGTATCCCGAAGACGCCAAGATGCGGGAGGCAGGGGGGGGGAAAGGCGCTCACATTGCTTGCCCCCTTCGGGATACCGCTAGGTTTGGGAGTGGCATTCTGCCTGCTGGAGGGGGGGTTGCTGGGCAGCTGTTCCCTTGTGACTGGGCTCCC